TCTGAAGGACTCTACCTGTGGAGAGGCCCCATGCTGGAGCAGTTCTTGAGGAACTGCAGCCCATAGGAAGGACCCACGTTGGAGCAGTCCATGAAGGCCTGTACCCCATGGGGTCCCTCCCAAGTGTGAGGAGAAAAGCATGAGGAGGAAGGAGCAGCAGAGAACTGATCTGAACTGACTGCAACCCCCTATTCTCCATCCCCCTGTGCCACTCAGGGTTTTGGGGAAGAGGTAGAAGATTCAGGAAAGAAAGAGTGAAGTTGAGCCTGGGAACAGGGCAGGCAGCGGAAGGTGGTTTTAGTTTTGTGTTTGTTTCTCACCATATTTTCAAATGGCAATAAATTAAATTATCTTTCCCCAGCTTGGGTCTGGTTTGTCCATGATGATAATTGGTAAGTTATCTCCCTGTCTTTATCTCAACACATGAGGGTGATGAGAGAGTGGCTGGGTGGGAGTCTGGCAGACAGCCAAGGTCAAACCCACCACAGGGACACTGGGCTTGATCCGTGTCCTGTTGGCAGAGGACTCACCTCAGCCCTACGGACAGGCAGTTTTCCCCAGCCAGGCAGGCAGGACCATCTGCATGGCGTGGAGTGACTGCAAGAGCAGGGAGGAAGGAGCGGAGGGGACACTGCAGGCTGAGCCCCGCCCTGAGGCTAGTGTCTTCTTGCTACTGCTGCTGCCTGATGTTAGGCGGGAGATAAGTGCAGTCCCTGCAGGTGATGGTAGCATGTCCCCCCTACTCGAAGTCTTCGGGTTGTGTCTCCTGGGGCGAGGCCTGGGAACCTTCCATATGTGTTTGATTGCCCTCTCCCAGTCGTCTGTTTCCCTTTGGGCACTCAGAAAGCCACTATCCCCCACCCAGGAGCCCTCCGTGCAGCTTTGGGCACCTCAGAGAGCTTTCCAGGCTTCTTTTGGTGCCTCCATGAGCCCTCTGTGTGCATTTAGGTGCCTGGGGAACCGTTTTGTGTTTGTTTTGGAGCCTCCCCGAGCCTGTCATACGACTCTCTGTGCCTCCCAGAAACCTTTGGTTTGCCTTTGGTTGTGCCCCCAAGCCGTCCAAGTGCCTTGGGGTGTGCCTAGCTGCTGGGACTTACAGAGCTGGAAACTGAGGTATCCTGGACCTCAGCTATGACAAGGGCTGGTTTCAAGGAGTGCGTGGAAAGGCTGGTGCCCCCTCGCACCCCTACAGCCGTGGCTCAGCCCCGGGTAGTACTGAGGCAGAGGTGGCTGCTGCTCCACTGTGAAGCTACAGCCTCACACACCTCCAACCCCACCATCACCACAGCCTTCTCCCCAGAGCTGCCATCCTGACCCAAAACTGCCCCCCTCCTCCAGCCCCATCGAGGATCAGCCCCACAGACCAGAAACCACCCCAAACACTGTCCTTCCCAACACCACCCCCCAGCCGCCACCACAGAGCAACAGCCCCCACACAGCAACTGCCCCCACATAGCCCCAGCATGGAGAAGCCATCCCCTCACACACGCAGCCCCCACAGCCCTATGGTTGCCCCCAGAACTGCCCCACAGCCCCACAGCTACCCCACAGCAGCTCCCACAAGCCCCACAAGGAGTTTGTCTCTTGCTGGGTTCTGTTTTGCCATGCTGGCTGCCCCCTGCCCAGTCCTCAAAGGCCCAGGGGGCTCTAATGGCAATGGAAGAGGTGTGGAAGAGGCTCTAGCTGTGGCTTGAAGACCCCTGGGGACCCTTGGGGCCTTCCCCAGGGCACCTACCTGGGCTGGGGAGGTGGTTGGCAAGTGCTGAAGGAAGGGAAACTGGAAATGGGCCCCAGCAAGGACCCATTTGTCCCCTTGCCTTGGTGATCTGGGAGAAAGGCATGAGGGGCTTCTGCTGTGTCCATGCCCATGATGTGTCCCCCTGCCCCCCAAGCATGTGGGAAGCTGGGACTAGGTCCTAGGGGAACGGGTGATGGGGCAAAGTCTGTTCCATGGGGATCCAGGGATGGCTAGGAAAAGGGGGCTGCTGTCAGCAGGGGTGGTCATGGTACCCACCCATGGCAGGGGTTAGTCATGAGAAGTCAGTTGCAGGGCAGATTGCCCAAGGCTCACGGAACCAACACCCAAGGCAGGGCAGTGTGGCGTGCATCCCCCTGCCTGCCCTCCCGGACAGCAGAGCAAAGCCCCTCCGGTGTGCAGGGCCTGGGCAGGGCAGAGCCCCAGCAGGGCTGGGCCTTGAGGAGTACCCAGGCTGGAGAAATGGCCTGCCAGAAATCTCATCCTCTTCAATGAAAGGAAATGCAAAGTCCTGCACCTGGGGAGGTATGAGCCCCATTCACCAGTATAGGCTGGGACCTCACCAGTAACTTTACAGCAACTCAGTCTTTGTGGGCTCAAGTTGAACATGAGCCATCAACATGCCCTTGTGGCAGGGAAGGCCAAGGGCTGCATTAGGAAGAGCTTGGACAGCATGCTGGGGGAGGTGATCCCTCCCCTCTACTCAGCACTGGTAAGGCCATGTCTGGAGTGCTGTGTCCATTTTGGGGCTCCTCAGTAAAAAAAAAGATGTAGACACACTGTTTGGCTTTTCAGCATAAGATCCACCTGGTGTCAGAAATCTTGTAGCTCTTTCTTTTCAGCTCTCACCCTTCTCATGGATAAACTCAGGCTGGCTACAGTTTGAGCACAAAAAGCACTTAGGGGCCTAGTTCCAGATTTATGCTTGCTGTAGACCTTTTAATTCAACGGCACAGCCTCAAAAAAGTCATTCTTAGAGGTGACTAAATGTGTTAGGTGACTCTCTGTTTTTTCTTAAAGATCCTATCTGCTTAGATATGTGCTCCCATCATCCCTGCCCATCCCCGGGGGGATGCCACACTTAAGCCCTCTTAAGACTCCAGGTGAAGGCATTTCACAACTATTCTGAGGAAAGGCCCCATTTCCTCTAAAGCATAAGGGATTCCTGTCAATTAGGAACGGGATACCAAACAAGGGACACACATGATCTGAGTTTTGACAGGCAGTCCTTTTTTTCCAGGTACTTGGAAAAACTTTTGGATTTTGAAACTTACAGGTGGATTGGATGAATCCAGACAACGAAGTGCAACAGTGCCACTCAAGGGTTTAACTTAACCAGTATTATCTTAATATTGTCTAAACAAGACAGAAGTGAGGGGCATGAAGTAATGGACCAAAACTGGTATCAGAGCTTGATGTAACTCTTAGATGAAGTAGTAAAAAAAAAAAATGTAAACTAGCCATAATTCTCTTTGGAGTTTTTTAAAAGAAGATGGAGGAGAGAGTGTGTACCTCTGGACTGTCAGAAAAGCAGTTGGATCAGAAGCACTGGGATTTTCCACTATGGCATGCCATCAGCATGTCAAGCATGACACTGATAAAAAGTGGCAGTCCATGCTCCAACAAATGTCCTGACCCAGCAGTTTTGGGAGCCAAGTATGTAATGGGAGGTGGGGTTTCAAACGCCTCTTTCATGCCTCTCAATATACCTTATTGTTCCCTGCATTTAATTGCTTTCTTACCCTCAGATTCACCTAATTGGAGTCTAGGCATGTCTGTCTCTTGTGACACCTCTGCACAGCTTCTAGGAGGAGGTGGTTGTTATACTCTCTGCTGTTGTACCTTTGACCAATGTTAGAGTAATTAAGGGCACAGGTATGAGTTGTTCTCAAGTTGCAAGTGGTGTTGGCTGTTGGCCATGGCAGCACAGAAAGCAGAGAAAGCATAACAGCAGAGAAAGCAAACTCATTTTGTGGTAATAAAGATGCTTCTAGAGGTTCAAATTTCATGGATGAGGAGTAGACTGGACTGGTGGAGAGGAGAGAAGCAAAGTCTACCAGTAAGCAGTCAGCACTGTCAGCTAAGGGGTAGCTTCAGCTTTGCTGAAATTTTTTGGGTATACTGAACTGGAAAAGTCCCATTCCCTCCTTATAAGCCCACTGCCTGGAAACTCCAGGCTGCTCTAGTTTCTGGGATTTTATACCAAGCAGCATAGTGATTTTCACTGTAATCTTATCAATGGATTGGAATACAGTAAGAACTAATTAGAGCCTTTGTTGGCATAAAACATTGCTGAGATTTAAGAAAACTTAGTGGCTGACTGTTGCCTTCCTCTGTTCTGCTGGTATCGGGAAGATTGGCATGGTGTCTGTTGTTACTCCAAAGCCGCAATATGCCAGAAATCATTTACAGATTAAAGGACCTGAGCTTGATGGGCAGAACTGAGCTGAGTGAGGCATGTTGATGGTTCTCCATCTGTGTGACATTACCATGTTTCTGGATAAGACTGAAAGTCACAGAGAAATAGGTTTGATTCATGGCAGCCTCTATCCTTAATGATAATCCCTGTGCCTTTTAATGTGTGCATTTGAATTAGGTGCTGCAAAAAGCAGCAGCAAGATGACATTTTATATCTGGTCATATGCAGGCACAGCCTGTGTTCATATGCCTCGGTCCATTGCTACCATCTTAGTACCTGGAATCCCCAGAAGAGGGAACTGCCTGGCCAGCAATCAGTGCAAGAGATCAATTTTTTTCTCTGTCTCCTTCCAAATCTCTTTCTTTCTCACAGCTCTGCAGGAAGTGGCCAGAAACCTGAGGACATTCCCCATATGGAGACTGAGTTTCAGATGTTGCGTTAGATCAATCTCTACCATTTATTTATTGTAGGCTGGAATGTTTTGCCTGCCTGTGTCATGGCCAGTTTCTCAAAGTGGGAGAGATTCATAAACCTGCCTGGGTGTGACTGGCCTACTCTGCTAAGGGGTAGATAACTGATAGTCCACTGAGGGTTTATTATATGTCAATGAAGAGCTTAGGTTAATGGATTACCAAGCAAATGCTGTGTGAAGTCTTTATAAAGGTCCAGCTTTGCACTGGGAACATAGAGCTCTGACTGCTAGGTGGTCTGAGTGTTAAGAAGAAGACAGAAAGTCTGAGAGAGGCAAAAGAAAGACAGAGAAAGACCAAAGCCAGAGAAAATAAAACATATTCAGGTTAGGAAAGGGTATACTTTGCAGGCACTATGAAAGGCTTTCTTTCCTTTGCAGTCCTTGCAGTCCTTTCACTGGTGCACAGCTCCCAGGCAGTCTACGTTCAGGTGAGTTTTCTGCTCTTTAATTTGTTGGTATTACATGTTCAACAAAGTACTGATATTACGTGAAATGTTGTGGCTGCATCAGGAACTAAACTAATAGACCTGAATTTTTGCTTTGCTCTGGCTTGATATTCAACTTCATCTCCCTATGGTTCAGTTTTTCTTTCTGTAAAATGCCTCAGGTACTACTAATACGCTGCTGCAGTTTAATTAACTTCACCAGCCATATCACTGCTCTGAAATCCCTTGCTGACTGAGGCATTGCATTTCCGGAGTTTTCTTTTGCATGTAACCCCATGTGTTGTGAAGCTGCAAGAACTGGGGACACCTCTAACCTTATAGAATGCTGTAAACAAGAGGTGACAAAAGAGAAATTGCCTTGTCTCACTGGCTTCTGGGCAGGATGTTCTTTATGAAAATGACCTGCAAGCTTATGTGATGGAGCCTACACACATATCCCATATAAAAAAAAAGGTGAAAGAAGTGCTTAGCTGGATCCAATGAAATATTAATAGGCAGATAAGCTATTAGAGGAGGCTATATCAAATTTTCCAAAATACACAGCACCTATGACTGATATTACATGCAACATGGAAGCAGTTAAGAAGGTACTTCAGTGCTCTTGTCTGTACTTGGGAGCGTGTTGGATCTGTCTGCACTCATCCTTAGAAACAGTTTGGGAGATTTCAGTTTGGTTGCAATGTAAATAACTTCCTCCGAGTACCAAAAGAACTAATATTTCTTAAACAATTATTGACTCTCATTTTATAAGTGTGCAGTTGGTTGCCAGGAGTAAGGTACTATCTTTGTGCCTTGAAATATCCTTTTTCTCCTTTGGATGTCAGAAATAGCCAGAGATAGCAGGTTTAAGCTATTCCTTTCTTCCAAACCATTCTTTAACATTTGGAGTCTCCAGGGGAACAGATAGCTTCCTACTTAATGAAAAAAATCTCAGTTTTCCACTTGGAAGCATAAAAAAAAAACCAAAACAATATGAGAGTAACTATTTCTAGGTTGGGTAAAATGTAGAAAGTGCAGCTCTGGAGCTTTAGCTCCTTTTTGTAGTTTGAATTCTTATCTCATTAATCATTAAATCTGTATTTTCTCCAATATATGTGCAGTGTACTCTGCATATGTGATGCACTCTTTTCATAGAATCATAGAATCAGAATCGTTTAGGTTGGAAAAGACCCTTAAGATCATCGAGTCCAGCCATTAACCTATCACTGCCAAGTCCACCAGTAAACCATGTCCTCGGGCACCACATCTACCTGTCTTTTAAATACCTCCAGATGGAGACTCCTCAACCACTTCCCTGGGCAGCCTGTGCCAATGCCTGACAGCTCTTTCAGTGAAGCAGTTTTTCCTAATATCCAACCTAAACCTCCCCTGGTGCAGCTTGAGGCCATTTCCTCTCGTCCTATCACTCGTTACTAGGGAGAAGAGACTGACCCCCACCTCGCTACAACCTCCTTTCAGGCAGTTGTAGAGAGCGAGAAGGTCTCCCCTCAGCCTCCTCTTCTCAGGGTCTCTAAGGTCTGACTAATTACTCAATGCACAAAGTTGGCTTATGCGCTTGTTTTCTGAAATTCTTCCCAAGACTTCCCTTCCCTCTCCCATAATATCTCAGAAGTCATTCATTTAACAAAATGTTTTGCAAAGTGGAAGTGAAGTTCATTTGACTCATATTTTTGAAGACTAGGTATCACTATGTCGACACTTTTCATCACAGATCTTGAATGAACATGATGGAAATTGGAGCAAAATGGTTTACTAGGTGTGGAGTAAAACCAGAAAAACTACAGACGTGGATTTTTCTGGCCTGCACTATTTCTGTGATAAAATCTCCTAGTTCAGCAACACATTATGCACTTCAACCTTGGAGGGAAGATGCTGCTCAGATTGAGCTCTCTCTAATATGTCTTTCTTATCTGAGGTGGTGGGGGTCTTGTTTCGGGTTTTTTGTTGTTTCTTTGTTGTTTTTTGTCACCAGGACATACCCATCTCAGGGTTCATTCCTACTTTCTGGTTTCACTGACACTGTATCTATGGAAATCCATCCTTTTTTAGTTCTCTGTTTTATGCTTTTGAGGTCTGTGACCAATAGCTGAATCTAAATCTTCATTTATACAGGAAAAGTTAACTTTTCATAGGAAACCATGACTGATAAATTAACCTGAGTAAAATCATAAACTGATTGCAAGTAGAAAAGAGTTTGACTTTAAGTAAATGCATGTCCAGAGTTTATCTGGTTGGGTTGTTTTTTTTTTTAATTCTTTAACACCAAAATTCTGTGATTCTGTAAAAAAGCCCAACAAACCAAAACCAATTACCCTCCCCTCCATCTCACACTATTCAACATTGGGCTCATGAAACCATGAAACAAGTGGCAATATTTGGTCTCATGCTGTATCAGAGTCACTTCACTTTATTTCTTTGAATAAGTATGTATTACTTGATCATCCTACTGACTACATGTTGGCCATTAAGCCAGGTTAAAACACATGCTAAAGATAAATTTGAAAATGCTTATTTCTCTTCTAGGCCAAACTCTGATTATCTGCAGACATACACACCCAGTCTTTATGCACCTAGCTTAACACTTGCAACACCTGCAATTCAAGTTTGACCTCAACAGTAGGATTCACTTGAAACCGAGGGAATGACCATTAACAGATGCACAGGGTCTAGCAATCTAAAACATGGAGTGATATTTCCCAGAATACTACCCTGGCCTCCTGAAGCTTTTGGTATGAGCTTTGAGTCAGAAGCATCATATTTATGCTGCCAATAACTTGTGTTCCATTAGTTGTGTGGACAAGTTTTAAATTAATGGAAACTTGCCACAGTACCTTGGGGTGAGGGGTTTCAGCTCTTAACAATGTGTAATGTGAAGGAATAGCTCCTTTTGTGTGGTTAGAGCCTACCACATGACAAGCCAACACTTGAAGTTCTCTACTGGTGTATTAGAAGAAAGAGTGAACAAAATAAGTTCCCATTTACCCCCATTCAACTCAGGATTTTGTAAATCTCTACCACATATGGCCCAGTCATCTCTCTTCGAGGCTGAAGGTTCCCAGCCTGTATCTTTCAACCCCAGATTTTATGGGTCTGTCTCATGGGAGTGAGAAATGCACTAATTCTGCCTCTGTTCACTGTAATGCATAACGAAAGCCCTGACTAGCCAGCCAGGTCTCACTGAAAGGTCTTTGCCTTGAAGAGCTGATCATTTTGCCTACAGTCAGCACCAATTTTATCTAGGCTTTGTTTCAACCCTGTCTTTTCCCTGTAGTATAGTTTTTGGGAGAGCTCATGGTTGAAATGGAATGGATTTGCCTAAGGACTGACTTCCTGACACCTTTTTTGTCTGCTTCTGTCTACATAGGATGGAGACTTGAAATTTTCCCTTGAGTCCGTGAAGAAGCTAAAGGAATTGATGGATGAGAACAGACACATTAACCCTCGCATGGTGGTTTCAATGGTTAGCTATTCTCCATGTGATGAAAAAGATCTCCCTGAGGAGTTCCAACCTGTGTGCAAAAGGGAAGATGCATCCATGATTTTTGAGAGGCTGAGTATGTAGCTCATATTGCATAGTTGCCATTTTTATCACACCTTTCAACCTTAAACATTCAAATAGCAGCAGGCAAAGAAATATAATTACTGTTCTGTCACTTCTAAAGCAACTGAGAGAGTCCATGCTGCCTTTCTACTAGCCTTCCTACAATTAGCTGTGAGCCACCTACAAGAAAATTCCTGCTATGCTGAGCTTAGCTGTAGCCTGTACAGATCAGGCTGTTGTAACCATGAAAAAGCTTCCTCCAAGTAGCTGCACACTAACTTACATGACTTAAAGTGAGAGAGCCCACAATCTTCTCTGGCTTACAGGAAGAGCAGGGTTATATCACTCAGTTTTCACTAACTAAAAGTTGTGAGCAGGTCTAATTGCTCTCTCTAATCAGTGTAAAAGAAGGTGTTTTTCCAGGTAGCCTAAAAGAGGTGTGAGATGTAAATGAGGTGAATCACTCTTTGGCATGATCTGTCTCCCAGACACACATAGTGATTCTTGAACTGGCTGCTACAGTGTCTGCTTTTTTATTTTATTATGTTGCATTTATCTGCTGTCCAATACAATGGACACTTAAGGAAGGAATACTATCAATATAATGAATGTTGTGATTCTACAAGCCACATCCCCATCACCCCCCCAGAAGATGTCCTATTGTTCTCTTGCCTCCACATGTTCCCATTGTTTCTCCAATGAATTTAGGTTTGATTTCATTCTTTAAGCCAGATTTTTGCAAGAACTAATTTTACTTATTCCAGTAATAACTTCAAGGAACATTAAAACTCATAAAACAGTAATGGAAAGGAGTCTCCAAATCCCTTGATATGTGGCTCTCCTCTCCAAGAAATTCTCTTGCCATCTCATTGAAACCCTCTCTTTTCTCTCTAACAGACCTGGCTGTCCAAGAAGAAGATTTGTGTGAAATCTGTGCCAATGCTGCCTGCGCTGGTTGCTTTTGAATAAGGATGAAACAATCCACCAAGAAGATGTGTCAAGCTAGGAAGTTTGTGCATTCATATTGCGAGATAACATACTTTCACAAATCAATATTTGGGCTCCATCTCCATGACAGTCAAACTGGAGCTGCTATCTCATGTAGACATACCAGGGGTAGTCCTGCAGTAGCTGGATCAGGTGCCACCAGCAGTGCAGTTCTGGCAACAAGGAGGCTGTAAATCTCATCTGAGAGGCTTCAGTTCTGCATGAGCTGTGTCACCCTGGAACAAAAATGTCCTGGGCACAGTTTCATTTTCCACATTTTGCCTGGATTGAAACACAATGGGTGAAACCAAGCCATCTCCTGCAGCCTTTTTAATATCTAAATCTGCCTGTGATTTGGCCTCCCTTACACATAACAGCCAACAGCACTGGGTTATCATCTTTTCCAGCCCATGCTTTCCAGTGTGTTGGATAACTATCTCTCTACCTGTAGGTCTGCATGTGACGTTTATGTTTGTAACAGAGCTGCAGCAAGTAACTTGGGGACAAGTTACTGGTATTTAGCAACACTTCCATAGCCAGAAAATTCTCAGTCTGTTACTTGTACTGATCGTTGCCAGTTTAGAGAATGGATGTACAGGAGCACAGGAACACTTTCTATATAGTTGTATGGAAGCTCCCTTCTTTTGACAGATATTCATGTTCATTAAGCTCTATTTAGGAGAAAAGAAGTCCAAACTGCAATGCTGGAATCACTTTCAAATTAAAATATTGCCTTGTGTTTTTATTTATTGGTGGCAAGATGGTGCAGAAAGGATCTGCCCATGTTTATATGCTGTATGTGAAATAAAAGCTAGTAATAATTTGGGTTTTTTTCTTGTTTATATTTTTGCTGGGTTTTGGGGTGTTGGTTTTTTTTCTGATAGTCTGCTTGCCTACTTGCTTTTCTCTTCTATAAGGTCTTTCATGTCTGGGTCTTCACTGGAATAGAAGTTAATATCTTGTTAATATTGTCCTGAACTTAAAACAATTTGTGGTCCTTATATGGATCATAGTAATATAAGACTACATCATAGCTTTTAAATTATTCATTTTTACTTTTAACTGTTGAATTATTATCTCCATTCCATATATATGGGGCCCTCAACTCAGCAACCAAGTTCTCAAAAGACTGTCAGTACTATAAAGCTAAGCACTTATCCCAGGAATTTGGTGCCTAAATCCAGAACTGATGGTCAAAAAAAAATATTAGGCATATAAATTCCTGTTACATTTGACAGAAAAGCTATGTAGGTGCAGAAAAGAATTCCTCACATCCAGTATGTTGACTATTCCAGGGCAAAAAAACATCCAACAGCAAATGTCAAAGAGAGAGTCTCATACTAAGGCTATTCTTGCTGCCTTGAAATTGGCACCTCTGGGAAACTGGATTTCCTGACTCAAAACACTGCCTGGGCTTATTTTAATCCTAAAGTTATTTCTCTGCATATAGAAATCTGGCTTATTATTTTCTGTTAAAACTAACTTGGCAAATCATTAAGTCTTAGCACAACAGCTTGGAGCGGCTCATGTAGAGAGGACAGTTTATCCATTTTGCAGGGAAGACTTGCTGGCAACAAGACTAGAACCAAGATCTCCCTGCTGATATGCTGCCAGTGTTTAAGCGGGGTGAGAGGGCTGGACTGGGGACTCTCATGTGTGTTCTCCTACAAGTATTCTGGCCCTGCCATCAACAGGAGCACCACAGACTGATTATGGCCCAGTGTGTAGAGCATTGTCTTGACATACAGGAAAAGGGGGTTAAAAGAGAGACTCAAACCTCCATTTTGCACTTGCTGGATGACATTTCTAATAATTGGGGGATTACACAGAAGGAAGGTTGTGTCCCTGGTGGGAAAAGGGAGGGCACACAATAAAAAAAAAAACAACCAAAAAAGCCAAGGCAGGAGTGGAGTTCCAGTTTTGTAGCCGGCTGTAGAAAGCCCGCTAGAGAAAACAGATTTTGAGGACTGTGTTTCTCAGCAGTCTCTGGGAACTAGGGCTGTAGGCACAGCATTCTCAGAGCAGAGCAAAGATTTCATCTGGGTTACCAGCTCAGTCACCGACCTGCTGTCACCTGCACACAGTCTATGGGAAACACCCTACAGGCTTCATGCTTGTGCAGAAACCCCAAGACAACTTGTGGAACTGCTAATGCTGCGTGAAGAGATGTACTAGCCACTGGAGGTGTGTGTGTATTAACTAGTGGGATGTTATTACTTTAATGGAGAAGATTTATTTGCTTTAAGAAGTAACTCCCATGGCAAATGCTAAAAGTGCTTCTCCACACAGGAAAGCTGCTATCTCCTCCTCTGACCATGAGGTCACTAGCATCACCTTCAAGGCCAGCATACTAAACACACACACAACTTGAGAGCAAATGAATGAAAAAGAAGATACATTTCTGTCGTTGTTTAACCCCAGCCGGCAGCTAAGCACCATGCAGCCGCTCGCTCACTCCCCCTTTGGTGGGATGGGGGAGAGAATGAGAAGGGTAAAAGGGAGAAAACCCATGGGTTGAGATAAGAAGGGTTTAATAACGGAAGTAAAATAAAATAGAACAGTTAAATAGGCAAAGCAAAAAGTGTGCACGCAAACAAAGCAAAGCAAGGAATTCATTCCCTCCTTCCCATGGGCCGGCAGGTGTTCAGCCATCCCCAGGAAAGCAGGGCTCCATCACACGTAACGGTGACTTGGGAAGACAATCGCCGTCACGCCGAATGTGTCCCCCCCCTTCCTTCTTCTTCCCCCAGCTTATATACTGAGCATGACGTCATATGGTATGGAATAGCCCTTGGGCCAGTCTGGGTCAGCCCCCCTGGCTGTGCTCCCTCCCAGCGCCCTCCCCCCCCTCCCCCAAGTAGTCGCACTACTTAGCAACTATTTAGCAGCAGCTAAATACTTAGCAAGAACCAACACATCAGTGTATCATCGACATGGTTCTCATCCTAAACCCAAAACACAGCCCCATACCGGCTACCAAGAAGAAAATTAACTCTATCCCGGCTGAAACCAGGAAAATTTCAAAGAAATATCCTCTAGTTTTCACTGCCTTTGTTGACAGAGGTAAGAAAAGTTCTTCAGCTAATCACAGCTTTTTGCTCGGAAGCAGTAAGCTGCTGGCTCAGCTCAGTTATCTCACCTAATTGCACCTTTCAAGGGTAGAGGGGAGCACCATCCTAAATTGTAACGTTAGCCAATATCCTCAGGCACGTGCCAGATACCCTGAGATTAACAACATATTTTTAGCCTATTTTTCCTCCCACAGCCTTGCCTCAAAGTGTGTTCAAGGGCAAGCAAACTTAGGCTGTTCGCTGATGTATGTGTACAAAGTTCTGCCAATGCCCAGTGAGCAGGTATCTGTACAAACACTCTGCTTCCCTATATAGCTCCATTCTGAATTTTAGCATGATTTCTTGGACTGAAACCTGGGAAAAGTAACAAGTGTTAAGCGAATGTTATATAAGCTCATTCTAATTTGTTGGTCAACATAAAGAAACTCTAAAAGGTGATTACTCTGTTTTGAAAAAACACATTTCAAGGTAATGATGTTACACAACTGTGTGGCATAAACACACTGACGTCACTTAGGAAAGAATAGACAATTGCACACTAGTTGCCTTTGTTCTTCTCCATTTTGATTTACAATTGTCGAGGGACAGAAATGTAATTTTTAGAGCATGAGTTTTTGATGACCTTTGTGGTACAGGACCCTGACACTGAAAAGGATTTTACATAAAACAAAGTTGTATTCTATTTATATGAGAAGTCTGTAAAACCACACATTATAGAGAATGATGCTATGAACTGGTCCCAGTGTCCTTGTCCATGCTAAGAAATAAATAGACTTGTAACAACAACAACAACAACAACAAAGCCCTACAGATCCTTTTCAGGATCATTGCCATAACCTCAAACCAATGTGAAATGTAGTATGAGGCCTTAAATAGAATCAGCGTATACGAATTAAAAATATTCAGGTGTTAAGTAAGGGAAGCTGTCCCTGATTAAGCAGCATCAGATGAATTCAAGACTGAAGAGCTGGGACTGTTTTCAAATGCTGTCTGGCTTTTTTCCTGCCATAACTGAGTTGAGTGGATCCTGTTCAAAGCAAGTTTATTACACAAATTCAGTCTTGAGTTTTAGTACTTTTCCCCCCTAATTTAACAGCTCTTGACTTTCAGAAAATATTTTAGCAGGCACTTTCATGCAAGTGCCCCACAAAGGTACACTAAAAGCCATTTGATAAGCCCAGTAACAGGACTCAACCTGCTGCCTTTGCACAGTGTATTTTGTCAGAAGTATGCAATGCTTCGTTTGTGATTTATGGCTCTTATTGCAAATTTAAATTGTTGCCTTTGCTCTGCTCTCTATGATGCCAATGGACACGTAATCAAACCAGGAGATGGAAACTCATTACTGAAATCTGAATTTTGCACAAGCCAAAAGCAGCAAGTCATCATATGACAGGGGGACACCATGCCGGCTATGAAGGAGTGGCAATGATGATGACTGGCTACTCCTGGCACAAAAGAGATGCCTTTGATCATACATTCCTTCCCTCCAAAGAGCACAGAGCAGATCCTGTGCTGCATTTTCAAGGTCTTGTGGTGCCATCTGCCAGGGCTCTGAGGGCACTAAGTAAGATTTAATGGCCCTGACAAGGTCACCTGAGGCCTTCACCCACAACCCCTGCCCATGTGCTTCATTTCAGTCCAGCTCTGGGCCTGTCTGAGCTATATTGTAGGAGTACTGGTCTCCACCACCACAAGTCTTTGCCTGGCCATGGGCCCTGATGATCAGGACCCCAACCCATAGAGCAACTCCCTAGCTTGAACTCAGACCTGTCTCTTCATTATGGACCTGCCTGGTGATCACAGGGCTCTCTCTATCTGATCCTCTTTACTGTCACTGGCCCCAAATCTGGCCCTGACCTGCACATTGACTTCTTGAATTAACTTCAGACATGCCTCATTATCAT